GTCTTCTTCGATGTAGACCCTCTCGCCGACTTGGTGGTTGCCACCCTTATGGGTGGCACCCTTATGGGTGTGGTCGCCATATCCCCCTCAAAGGTTATCTTGATGCTCTGGCTCCTGACCGACTCCTTTTCTTTACTCGGCTTTACTCTCCTTGCTTCGACATTCTCGTTCATCGAAGGGAACATTGATACATCTCCCAGACCATCTGCCCACTTGACGTACTTGCGGTCGTCAAGCACGACAAGTCCCTCATCTATTGCCCGTTTCAGGTCCGGGCAATCCCTCTTCATATGATCTTCTCCTCTACAGTAGACGCATGAGTTCCTGGGAGTAGATGGCCTGTCGTCTGCGCTTCTCGAGATCGAACTCCTGGCTGCCTTGGAGTCAGGCGACTTGGGATATGGTTCTGATGAGACGCCATATCCCCCTCTCTCATTCCGACCGCGTGAATCGTTGCGGCGGTCTCCTCCAGACCCTCCTTGCTCATACCGCCGTCGCGAATCATTCTGGCGGTCCCCCGAGTCATATCGCCCTCGTGACTCATCGCGTCGGTCCCCTCGGTTGTACCACCCCCGCGACTCGTCGCGCTGCTCTCTCGCATCTCCCCAGCGCTCAAACCGTTCGCGCGACCCATCTCGTCGTTCCCAATCCCGATCTCCTCTTTCATACCTACCACCTCTGTAGCCATCTCAATCCGACCTCTCGTATCTGTCGTCCCTATATCCGTCTCGGTCCGATCTCTCGTATCTGTCGTCCCTATATCCATCTCGGTCCGATCTCTCGTATTTGTTGTCCCTATATCCATCTCGTCGGCCCTGATGTGTCTCCCATCGGCTGCGGGAGTCGCCTCTACCCCGATCGGCCTCATAGTGAGGGTTTCGCGGGTAATCATCCAGCCTCTTTGCTCGCCCAAACGGCTCGCGATCTCTGCGGTCTCGGTCTATCTCATCATTCCTACGTCGCCATGGCTCATCGTCTCTCTCTCTTACCCTCATTCGATAATCAGTCAGCGTCCGAGGATTTCTATCCTCGACACTCCTCCAGGAATCGTTGTTCCTACGGTCCCAGCGAAGTGAATAGGGCCCTCCAGGTTTGTCCCGGTAGGCCGTGGCTCCTGTAGTGGTCACAATCTCTGTAACCTGTCTCGTCAATCCCTTCACCATGTCCCGTATCTCCTTCACTTCCTCAGCCACAGCCTCATTCTTCTCCGACCAGGGAGAGTCCTTGAAATCGTAACATCTATCAGTGGCATACTTCTTGTAGAGAGAGAAGTCACGTCTCCTCATCCCTCTCCACACCAAGTCCTTGTAATCGTCTAACTCTGCCTTTATCGCGAGCTTTAGGACTTCTGGGAAATCAAGCCTGTCGCGCGGAAGATCTCTAAGTATACTCTTTTGCCTACCTTTGGACAAGTGTCCGATGAAGATAGTACAGCGCTCGACCTCTGAGATCTTCCCCTTCTTCATCAGCACGTCGGAGATCTTTTGGAAACGCATCCCAAATGCCCGTACGCTCTCATCTTCATCTTGAGTCATTGTTTCAAGGTCCTTGATGGAATACTTGTTATCCTCCAATTTGTAAAGCTCAACGAGGTTCTTCTTGTAAGTAGTCAATTTTCCATCCTTCGGTCGAGCTTCCTTAACTTCCCTGCCGAGACTTGGGTCCACATTAAATAGGAAGTTCTCTATAATCTCTTCCTCCGACCACTGACTCCGCTGGCGTGAAGCTCCCACTTCTCCAGATAATATGTGATACCATAGCCCCTGAAGGTAGGAGGTTGTGAGGCCTTGTGCGTAATAATATAGCGATCCTTGCTCTCGTAAGGGAGCGGATGTGACTCCCCTGTCTGGGGGTCAAAGACTCGCCTGGGCGGCGCCCTGTCTCTATCTCTGTCCCTCCAATAGGAATCCCTCAAACTCTCTCTCCAGTCGTCTCTGTGCTTGTCCGCTATGGTGTCCCTCCGCTCGTACTCGGGGGAGCGTCGCCTTGTCGCTTCTCGTCGTCCGCTCGAGGTACCCGTCTTTAGAGTCTCCTGCGGCTCTGTCGCAACTGGTTCGCCCCTTACGTCGGGCCCTCCGTCATTGGTTTGGTCA